ACTTTCACCGCCTGGGGAAAGATTGAGAGGATTTTGAAGATAGACCGACATGTCGCCTGGTCTAAGAGGGCAGGAAGATGAGGAAGCTCAGGAAGTTCCTCTGGAGATCTTTCTGCTTGATACTTTGAGCCTTCGGATTTCCAGACTAGATCAGGTCCACCAGGTGTCAATGTGTTCCGGTCCCAGGGCCGCTTCGTTCGAGCCGAGACCTCCCGAACATCGGTTCGGTGCATCGCTTCGAACGTCTCCAGTCTCGGTGTCGCTAATGCGACACATCGCAGACCCGATCGACTCAATTCATCTCCTAAACAGATGGCAAAGTCCGTTTGCTGTACCTCTGGGAACCAATTCTTCGTCAATGGTGAAAGGGGGGCAGGAAATCCCTGGAAACCCGTGTCTGCGGCCCAAGTCACACTGACAAAAGTCTGCGGCTGCTCACTGTGTACAGCCTGCCTTAGGAGAGCTCAGATTCTACACGGCAACACACGCATTCGACTCAGTGAGTTTCATAGGGGGACCGGGTAGACTGGTCTGTTTCCCTTCAGGGAGGTCTTTGGCAGGCCTCCTATCTTAATACACATGTCACATCCATATTATGAATCCTTGATCACGCCATCTTTGGAAGCTGCCGGGTCCACATAACACCTGAAAATGCCGCTCTTTTCACGCTGGAGTTCAAGGTCTCACTCGGTTTGGTCGCTCGAACGCTGCTCAAGTAATTCTCAAGAAACGATGAAATTGCCAGAAAACACATCCAGATTGGGCCATTCCAAACATGTTCAATAGAATCACTATCACTACTCCCGACTACTGCAGACACGACTGTTGCCCAAGATGCTCCAGCTTATCTATCAAGGCCCAACTCGACTCTTCGGCCATCGCCATGCCTGCACATCCGAGCCCAAAGAATGAGGTTTCGTGTTGGAACATGTCACCTGTCCACTCCTGTCCCATGGGAAAAGTCACCTATCAGACTTTGTCGAGATGTGACAAACTCCGATCGACATCGACATCGACCGCTCGGCCTCTTTCTGCGATGCCCGCTACCCCCCCCCCGCTGCGTGCTCGGGCCATGCAGCGTGGAAGGAGGAAGAGTGGAGGGCCGAGAGGTTCGCTTCTGCAAAAACAACACGTGTTTGTTCAAACGAACGTAGCTCCTGGCATCGCTTCTAGGAACAAGCTACTAGGGTGGAAGCCTTTTGCTATGGGTGGAGGCCATTCCTACTCGTAACAAAGGGCGCCAAGTGAACTTCCGAGAGTTTTGACCGTTCCACGTTTGTTGTTTCTATCGCTGAGCTCTTCGGACACGGCCAGGTTCCCGCACAAGGGCATGCCGGGCATGCGGATGCCGGGGATGCCGGGCACACCTGGGGCTACTAGCTATCAGAGGCGTACATCTCTGCAACCAAAGCTGATACCAAACTCCAGCGACACTTCTTGGAAGGTGTTTTACTGGACACTACCAAACTCTCACAAACCAGCACGATGCTGCCAAGCCTGGCACCAAAGGCCTCAAAAACGCGGGTGAAACCCGTGCTGACAGCAGAGATTGTAGATGGCAGGTCCATTTTCCGAACCACGGTCTACGCAGGAGGATCATGTTCTTGCATATACGGCGCAAACACTACGTATACTGCCTAAAGACTGGTAGGACGACATATCTGCCTTCTGCGCAGACCAACCAAACATCATCCAACATTCATTATCTGCCATCAATGTGACATTGCTGGCATTGCACAGCGTTCAACACTTATCATACTGGAGTAGATAGAACATGAGCCATGAGCCATGAGCCAATCCAAAAACATGACCAGTTCTCTAATGTGTTAGGATTGTCACGGATTGTCCTTATTCTATATCAATATCTAGTCCAGGATTGTGACACAGGATGACTAAGCTGTTTGTGTTGAGCTCCCAACATCCTGGTGAGGCCCGAGACGGGCACAGGAGGTGAGCCCGGCCGAGGTGTGGCGGGCGGAGGTCCCGGCACCACGCCGGGGGGCACCGCGGGAGCTCTTGCTGGAGCTGCTGGAGCTGTCGCTGGAACTGGCGTGGCAGGTGCTGGTGCGGTTGACGGTGCTGTTGCGGGAGCTGGTGCTGTTGGCGCTGTTGAAGCTCTTGCACCCGGTGCAGGGGCTGGAGCTGGCGCCGCCTGCGTGGCCTGCGGAGCTGCCGGAGCCGCTGCCGTGCCTGTGGATTTCACCACAGGAGCTGCTGCGGGTGCAGGTGCCTCATCGCTACTGGGCGCCTGGCAGCTGATGGGAGTAGCTGGAGCTTGGCCGATGGGAGGAACTGAGCTACAACCAGTACCTGAAAAGACCCTTCCTTGGAATAGGAGCTTTGGCTTTGGTTTTCCAAGTCTGCAGGGGGGCAGCCAGCAGGGGGGCAGCCATGCGGATATCACGGCTGGTCATGGTGACTTACCTGCTCGATTTGTGGATGTATGTGGATGTTGCTAGCTACGTTCCATTCTAGGCCATTGCTATCAGGTTAGAGGCCATCGCTTCTAGGTTGGAGATTCCAGGCTGTTTAGGTCGATGCACGGTCAGATTCTTGCACTCGCCGCTCACTCTCGAAGTTTCTCGCTCGTACTGAGCTTCTTTTGAAACTTGGCCTTAGACACCTTGACCTAGGCTTCTCAGAAAATACTTGGACTTTCCTGGCACCTACATAACAGTGCCTCCAATCACCGTACCTGAGAAGGAACCTTGTTCACCTAAGTGAGCATGTGGCTTTCAGATCGTACGCATATGTACACATCATATCTCGAGTGTTTCATCTTTTTGACACCCAAACCCAAACGGCCTCCCAGACGAAATCCCTTCCCTTCGCAAAACCAAGCCAACGTGTTCGGAAGAGGAACATCAACGGTGATCCGGCTGGGGAAAACCCTGCCACCCCGCTAACTCACGTGTTGCTCACCGTAACTTGAGGCCTCGGTCAGTTCGCTCTCACTGTCACTGTCCGCCTGGCGGAACACCGAAACCCGGCGATCGCGGGACAGTCTTCGACATTTGGGGTGAACGAAGAAGCCGAAGCGAGTGGAGTGGTTGTTCCTCTCAGACTTCGCCGAAGAAATGGGTACCACCGGTACCACCGCAGCCACCAGCTCCGTCACGTCCGAGCCCGCGGAGCCGAGTCGAGCGGCCACACCAGTCGCCGCTCGTATCGCTGAGTGCGACGTTTTCGTCTTCGAGGCTCTGAACCCGGAGACCGGCGTTCGATTCGACCTGGAAAAATGGGTCTCCCCTAGGGATTCAAACGGACCCTCCATTCCGCCGGATCCGTTCCATCGAAGGCCATCCATCGTTTTTGGACCGGATCGCCTCAGCGAGCGCCTCGGCCGCGAGGGGTGCATGACCTGCGAACGCTGCGAGGGCCGTGGTGCTCATCGGATGAGATATGGCTGGCGACACCTGGTCAAACCGGGCAACTGTGCAAGCAAATTAAGTGGACTGAAAGCTCTTTTGGCGTTCTGACTCATAGATACTCATGAGGAAATTATATGAAATTATCGTGCAAGCATAGCAATATAGCAAATATAGCTGCCAACTTTCCAATCCATGCTTGCTCACTCGAATTCCCCTCCATCCACCTTGCCTGCCGTGCTTGGCTTTGACCTCAAGTGCAGGCCAGTCCACGACATCCAATTCCTACCCAGACCCTCCATGGCACTGGTATACCTGGTATATATGCCACAGCTATGCCCACATTGCTCCCCGATCGCCATTGCGGGATGTTAGGATGCTTTTCATGGCATACTACATGGACATATGGTCTACATGTGAACAAAAGCTCTATAGAAAGGCCCCGATGCCCATTCTCTAATATTCACAAAAAGTAGTGGATGATGGTCTTTGAATCTTCCCACGCAAGCCACCTGCTTTCGCACTGGAATTTGCATTGCGACCTTTGCCATTTGAAATGAATTCGCCATGTCTGAGTCCCCACACTTTGGTGACTCCGCCTGCAGGTGGTTTTAAGAGCTTTGGGGTGAGCAAATCTCATGAAATGCAACACATTGCTGAAGCTGGCTGAAGCTGGCTGAAGCATGCCGAAGCTACTATGCATGAACAAAATGATCCGCAGGATTCCCCATCTCCAAAAAAACAGAAGTTAATTTCCAGATATATAATAGAATGATATACCTTGACAAGTGTCCTGTCCATTTCGCATTCCATATTGCCCACCCGGTCCGGCTCCGCCGCCTTCAAGGACTCCTTCACCTTTGGCGGCTCCGATTTTGGCTCCGCCTTGGGCTCGGCCGCCTTGGGCTCGGCTGCCTTGGGCTCGGCCGCCTTGGGCTCGGCTGCCTTGGGCTCGGCCGCCTTGGGCTCGGCTGCCTTGGGCTCGGCAGCCTTGGGCTCGGCTGCCTTGGGCTCGGCCGCCTTGGGCACCGACTGTGGTGCTGAGGACCTCAATAAAAGGCGACGGCAACAAGGCGACAGAAGGGAAAAAGGGAGTAATTCCTGAAAGAAAAAAAGAACTTAACAAGCCAAAAGGGCGTTGTGCTCCACAGAGGGCCACTTGATTTTGGAACCATTTCCGTCGGTACAGCCATCCATTGGGCGCCCGGGCGCTACCGGTCGGGCGGGCGCCTGTTTTTGTGCGGGGACTGGCAGCCTTGGCGCGATCACTGTCGAGAGATGGGCCATGAAAAGGTTGGGAAGAGTTCTTAGGGGCCGCCGCGGCCCCCCCGAAAATTGGGATGCAGCCAGAAGCTAGGGAACCTAGGAGGCCACATCTCTGGGGCTTGGAAGGGTACCTAGGCCTTTCCACGATATGGGAAGCGAATGAATTGGAGCTCCAACTTCATGGGAGTGAAACACCGCCGTGCAGACAGTCCCACGCTGACTGAAACGCCGCAGACTGCTGACGGCCACGCTGACTGAGTTCCACGCTCCTTGAGCTGTGGCCAGAGCTCTTGCAAGTGCTTTCTCCGTGCATCCTCCTAACAAAGTCAGAGCTGTAGCGACCGTCTGGCGCCAAACGTCTGGTTGTTTGTCCTTCTCTCGGGATCTGGATGGGCCCCTACCTACAAGTGGACGGCTCTCAGCCAGCGCTACGCTGACCCAGCTTCGCCCGAAGCCCACTTTGGAGCTTCCCCAAAATCTTCGACCATCTTCGCCCGCTGTGTCAATCACCCCTTCCTCAACTCAGGTGATAAGTCCGTCTCCGGGTTTGCTCGGCCGGGAGGCATCATGTACTTGTAGCAAACTCCATCCTTCACCACCACGGCAACACGATCACGCTTCAAGCAAGTGATATCTTCTAAGGGATTGCCGTCCACCAATATGAGATCAGCATATGCCCCGCTCTCAACCACTCCCAAGTGTCCATCCTTGTATGGGGTCATCCCACCACTCCAAGCCAAGACTTTTGCTGCATCTCCCGTTGCTGTCCGCAAGGCCTCTGCTGGAGAGAAGCCTGCCAATGTCACCAGGGTGATGATGTTGTCCGCCTGCCGGTGTTGAGCAATCCCGCCAAACATATCCCCACCGGAGACAATGAGGGGCCGGTATTTGCGGGCATATTCCATCATCTTCTTCGCACCTGCTGCCACCATGCCGGCCTTCTTCTTCTGATCCTTGTTGAAAAAGGTGATCTTTTCGGGCTCCGCAAAGGCTTCCATGGACATTACACATTGCAATGAAATTGCAGCTCCAACATCTGCAATGCGCTTCATGGTTGATTCAGACATCAAGAATCCATGCTCGATGCATCGTACCCCTGCATCAAGGCATCTGTTGATGGAGTCATCATGGTAGGCATGCGCAAGGACATAGGTGCCGTAGTCCTTGGCCACTTCCACAGCTGCCCTCATTTCATCTTCCGTAAACTGGGTCATGTGAATGGGGTCAAAGGCACTTGCACAACCACCACCTGCCATGATCTTCAGTTGTGTGGCTCCATTCCGCAAATTGTTCCGTGCTGCCTTCAACATTTGTGGCCTCCCATCCACAATGTGGGAGAAGCCATTCCGCTCGAGCTGGTCTTGATCGTTGGGTTGATCAAAGCCGCAGCCTGTGTCCCCGTGGCCACCCGTCTGACTGAGGAAGGCACCTCAAGTGAGGGATCCGTGGTGGGGAGGGGGATTGCGAAAGCTCGATTTGCGTCCGAATCAATGAGCGGTGTTTCTCGAAGTCTTCACAATGCCTGGAAGTCTTGAGGCGGATGATTTGCATACGTTGACTGTTCAATGATTAAACCCTCTCTACTTGGGTTGGTCAATTCTTTGGAATTCTTGTTGACTTCTTGCGTTCTCCCCGACCAAGAAGGGAAACCAAACGCCTTCTCTTCTCTGTTCTCCCGGATCTCCCCTCGTCTCCACCGGTGCCCGGCCCGACGAGGCACCCGAGGCGAAGATCCGAGGCCCGGGAAGGCGACCGTCGTTGATGGCCTTGGCGATGCCCAACACATTGCCGCCCGCGTCGCGGCAGGTGGTGAAGCCTGGAAAGAGCACCCCAACACAATTGAGCAGCGCCCGAAAACGACCAGATGGACCAGACGCCCGTTTTTTTTTGTCAGTGGGCGTCTGGTGGTTGGGCAGTCTGGAGGATGAAATATACGAATGGAGGTTGGAGAATGCTACTGAGAAAATGTGAGGGACCAAATCTCTGGCTAGGCACGCCTGATGGGACGGTCCAAACAGAATATGAAAACCTGGACCCGCCTTGGAGCAAGTAGTCCACACAATCCTGACCACACATGGCACCCATAGCCATTTGGTCATAAGTGTCACGACCTTCCAGCATACCCTCCTGAATGCACAGATGGCTATGCATGTCAATCAATCCTGGCATCAAGGTGTAGCCGCTGCAATCCACCGTCACAGCGCTCCAGTGGTCCGAACTGATGTTCGACCCAACATCTTGGATCAAATTGCCAAGTACAAGAACATCCTTTGGTTCGGTCAGCACATCAGATCCATCGTAAATCCGAGCATTCTTAAATAGAATTGGCTTCTGGTTCCGCTCCTTGCGGTAGGCTGGAAAGAACTCCGGCATCGCGTTAGGATCTCAAAGTTTGATACATCAGAGCCAGGTGCTACAATGACAAAGAGCAGACCGACCAAGGATAGTTTTTCTTTTCAAGATGTCATGCTCTTTGGAAATTGATTGCACATGGAAGACTCCTGGCTACAGCCAGATTTGGACCCTTTATCTATATTCAAAGGAAAAAGAATCAAAGTGAGCTGATATATGTATTTTGGTCTCTGTTAAAGATTCTGTATGTACTTGCAAAGCACATCTTGTACAACTTCTCCCACCCAAACCATTGCTTTGGTGGTCCGAACTGCTTCCTCCCGAATCTCCTCACGCTCAGAGTTCGTCATGTTGACCACAGGGTCTCCCCAGGCAGATGCGACCTGCATGTCCGGGAAAGTGATTCGCGGACAGAAAGAGAGCACGAACGGGGCAAGGATGGCCTTGCTACGAACGGAGCAAAGGGCATCGCTACGAACGGAGCGATCGGACGCGACTCAAACGGGGCTTTTTCGGCCCATTTGCTGGAACGAACACCGGGCCTCACGCTTGGGTGGTACCCATGCGGCAGCCTCGGAGGCTGAAGCCCGGAGTCCAACTCACATCACATCACTTCACATCCAAACAGGGAAGAGGAGCCTAGATGCTATAGGTCCAGGTTCTTGCCACGCGTCAGGATGCACATGAAGCCGTTGCTACGTAGTAGAAGCTGTTGAGTCTTCAAATTCTGAAAGCATTTCTGGATGAACATTGAATTCTTCATATTCTCATTCACCCTCCCCACCAAGTAAGCCTCTGTATAGCACCGAGTAGGGACCCTACAGAAGAGTCTCTCTGCCCCCCCAGACTCGTCTGATGGAGGACTGCCCAGCAGTTTTCACAGCTGAACCTGCCTCCTTCTGTGACAACATCTTGGCAACGCGCGCCGCCGCCGCTGTGGTGCCTCAGGTCATTTTTCCTGTAGGTGAGACTGAGATCTTCAGAACTCTTTCAAAGGGTGTGAGACAGGCGGAAGCCTCTGTGGTGAGCTAGCCTTTTGGATTTCAACATGCCAGAAATCCAGACATGGATTGTGGCTCTCCCGTTTTTGGATGGTCACTTTGTTTCTTGGAGTTCTCTGATTCCCAATATAAAAGGATAAAAATCCGGAGCATCGCAGTTGCCCTGCTCTTCCACTTCACTTTTCAAATCCAAACCACCCGGTCCCACCCGGTGGATCGAGGATCGGGCGATTCCCCTGGCAGACGGCCGAACGGAAGGCGAGCACGGTGCAGCACACGGAAGGCGAGCACGGTGTGTTTGGGGATTGCATGATGTTGAATTCACTAAGACTTCATGACTTCATAACATCATGCAATCCCCAAACATCACTAAGAACTTCACTAAGAGTGTCTCCATAACATCTTCATGACTTCACTTGGAAGTCCGAAAAGGGTCATGCTTAGACTGCCCTCTGTTCGGGTTCATGGATTCCTAACAAGAAACAGCTGCCGTAGCTGCCAGAGCGTGGTGGGCGAGGGGGAACTCCTCCGATCAAATTGTCCGCTGCTCAACGATTCTCTTCCCCACCACGCGCGCGCGAGCCGAGCTGCATTCTTGCTTGGATGTATTCACAAATCAGCAAAGGTGCGCGACTCAAATCTTGAAGGGGGGACAAGCAAGAAATACAAAGAAAACATCTCTTTCAGGGATATTTTGGCTCGTTCTCTTCACAATTCTCTTCAAAATCTTGATGAGAGTATGTGCAATCCGGGTCGCACTGAAATTATGAAAAAAAACATGTTGATCTTGGATCCACGCCGACCTTCCGAGACGCACGGCACCGTTCGCCTTGGCCACGCTCGCCTTGCTTTGAACGGGCGGCCTCGCGGCGGGACACGCGGACGGTGCGGGGCAACTGGGCCTGGTGAAGTGACTCAACTGTTCGGCAATGCGGGTGGAGATGGATGAGTCAATATTGGATGAAGAATCATGAACGAACAATCAATCAACAGTGGAGATGGATGAATATGATGAATGGAAGATCCATCCATTGTTTTCAGGCTGGCTTTCAGACTCACTTGTGGCTTGGCAAACGGGTCAGTTGTGCGTGAGATGGTGCGATTGCAGCTTACAAGTACAGTACAAAATAATACAATCCCCAAAACCAAACATGTAGGAGGCCCGCAAGAATCTGTCTTGGATAGTCGCAAGCATTCACTTTGTACAACGGGTTCACCTCAGATTCTGGCGAAACAATCCCTCCCTCGCAAGGAACGCCAAGGATGGCATTCCCCGCAGCTTGAGGAGCTAGATGCGTTGCATCGTCGACTCTTCGTCAGAGGAACGAAGAGAATGGACGGAACATGTGGCAAAAGAACGCAGTACCAAATCTCTGTCAACCCGCACCTCCAGGGTTCATTCTCAGCCTTGCGAAGTGGAAAGTGAAAGAAGAGCAAAAGCAACTGTTGAGCCTGGGGTTGTATCATGTTGTGTCTTGAAGCACCCAGGTTAGGCCAGGCTTCGAGTTCTTTCATGTTGTCCTTTCTTTCTCCATGTGCTCCCTCCAATTGCTCAGGAACTCGTATACAGCAAACCGCTGGTTCGCCGGTTCACGCTTGGACCGCGCCCTGCCTTGCTGGACCGCGCCCTGACAGAGCACAAATCGCCCTCCGAATGGCTGGATGACTCAGGTGGAAGAGGGTTAGGTCTCTAGTCGTGACCTCTCTTCAGAGGGATCTAATTAAAGTATATTAAAGTGACCCTCATCCGATCTCAAGTTCACTTTGAAGATCATGTGGGGAGACATGTCCTCATGGTGTTTCATTCCCCTCCCCCGAGGTCCCCGACGGACTGGGCGAGGGCGAATTGGCCTCATAGGCCTGGACGTGACAAGGCGCAGCGAAGACGAGGGAGCGCGCTTGGCACAGGTGGTCGGGGTCTGAGGCAAAGAGGTGTTGTCTTGCTATATATATATATGTATTTAAGCATGTGAGATTCAAGACGTCCTTGTGAATGCTTGTGGTTTATGACCTACAAGCCTCAAAGTCAAGAAGTTCTTGTTCACGGCCACGTGCAGCAAGGGGTCCGAGGTCGAAATCCACAAGTTGGCAGAAGTGGAAGTAGTGGTTATGTATACCACTCACAGGCAGATCCACTCCGAGATGTTGCGGACGAGTACAAAGTCCCATTACCCTGGTGTCCAAACCCAACGGCTGTCGGTGTCCAACCCAGTCGGTCGAAAAGCCCGTCAGCGCCCAGGATCACCCGTCTTTGCTCCCTTCGTAGCGATGCCCTTTGTTCCTATATAGTAGCGATGGTCTTTCCATGCTGAGAGACTGTTCGATTTCCTGGCCTCTTCGAAGGGCCACTGGATCTCGGGTTCCGGCTCCTGGCGAGAAGGAGCGTGGAAGGCTGTCTGAAGAGGCTGTCTGAAGAGGTGTTTCAGATGGTGTTGGTTAAGTTCATTTCTTCTGCTCAAGAAGCAGCTTCAAGAGTTCCCTCAATTCGGAGACGTACCAGCAAGGGCAGCTGCAAGCCCACTGCCTACCCTAGAATGAAAAAGGTCAAACAAGACGAAGCAAAAAGATCAAAAAGGATAGAAAGAAGTACAGAAGCCTGAATCGATCGGCCTCAATCTGTCCACAAGCCAGTCTGTTCAACGCACGGCACGCTGAACACGAACGCGTCGCGCCTCTTTCTTTGGGACCTTCGTTCGGTCATGGGGTCTCCACGGACGGCGTGAAGCATGGGGCGACGGCAGGACGGCACACGCGAATCGTCCGTGAACCGATGCGCTGAAGAAGCGACCACGATGGCGCGAAAACGGAACATCTGGTCAACAGAGAAAACGGAAAACCCTCGCGGAACTTTGGGAAAGGTGTATATCAGGTTTGGAAATGCCCAGAGAATCTGATCCCTCCTGTCTCGCACATCATGGGGGCCCCAGAGTCGGAGATCACAAGAGCTGACAAAACCAAAGACAACCGGAGTCGGACACTTGGGCTCTGACAAACCTCTTCCAAAAACATCCAACACGTGGCCTTTGGCGCCACAAAACTGTTTGGGACCGCTTCCAAGCTCCACCACTGCCACACCCACCGAGAGCCATGCTGGAACCTCGGGCCTGGCAGGTTTCAGAGACGGTTTCCCCATGGATGAGTTCGTGGCGGAGAGTTGTCCACGCGAAAATATCATTGGAAAAAGGACATCACTTCGATCATCTTCGATCGATGTTGCACACATCTACGATGCAGATGGTTTGTAATCTATATAGAACCTATAGATAAAGAATGATAAAGATCCAACAGCAAAAGCGATGGGAGGTTTGGCCTTTGATCTGATACAATATGTCTATTGGTGTAGCTCCAGAAGCTCTTGAGCCTTGAGCATTCAAAAAGAATCCGGACACCAACGGGCGCCGCGGCGCGCGGCGCATCCGTCGGACCGCTCGACTCGTCGCCTGGGCTCTGAGATCCCCTCGATCGTGGCCTGATTCTGGTTCGGAGTGTTTGGTTTGAGCGTGGAAATCACCAGAAAACAAAAACCCGTGACATGGACTGCTTCATGGCAGCTGAAAAACACGGACTCCTGAACTTGGACTCAACTTGACTTGCACAGGCAGCTCTGGCAGCTCTGTTCGGCCTCTCCCTTGATACCGTTGCCAGGCGCCTGACCAGTGTTATCCACCCACCCGCACTTCGGATCTTGTTGAAAGACACGTCATGGTCCGTGGTCTAAAAACCAATCGTCGGGACTTCGAGGTCCTCACGTCGGGACTTCTGCAGTGGAGCGCAACATCAGGACAAGCTTCCCATTCCCCTCTTAGAATCCATTCGCAAGCGAGTGCATCCAAACAGAGACCAAAGCAATCACCTACCCCCGAGCGAAATGTCGGGAACACCGGCTCCAAGCCAAAGCACGACCTCCAAATCGCCAAACGTTGGGGAGGCCTCCAGCATCGGCTCACCATACTTTTTGCACACGTGTGCATAGACCTCGCCCTCCGCACCCGCGTACCTGGCAACGTGTGGCACGCGGCATCAGGTCTGCAAGGTGAGCGGGATACGTCGCTGAACGGGCCGAGGCCGAGGTGAGCAACTCGTTCCACTCTGGGCGTTTGCACCCAGTGGTCATCCTCCACATTGTTAGATTGGCATAGACCCCGGATACAGTAGCCATTGACTTTAAAAATAACGATGCACCCTATAGCCTGTAGCTTTCAGTTATCTGGAGAATAAGATTGTAAAAGATTGATCAATCAATCGCGATCCGTCGCGACGGGCATCAAAAAACCGGTCACTTCTCAAAGATGGCATCCAACT